CGATGGGTGTCTACTAGAAAAGTCGCAAACAAATAAAGTTTTCATTTAGAAGTGTATCCATATAAATAGTATGCTTGTGTCTATCTGTCTGGAAATTTTCTCGCAAATTTCTCATTCAAACACTACAAATCTCATATAGTTAGAAAGGTCTTTGTCCGAGAAGTCCGTATTGCATGTTGGCTTTTCCATTTAGAATCACCTTTCCTAATTTTTTGCCCCCAGTGGCACAGCGGTATGTCTGCGGACTTACAACGCTAGAAACCGGTTTTCGATACCTGTGGTGGGCAGATCACAGATAGCCCATGGTGTAGCTTTGTGCTTAATTCCAAACAAACAAACAAACAATCCTGATTTTTGCTTAGTCAAACTTTTTAATGCAACGAGTGTACTACATAATGTCATTGTCATCACGTGACGACTGGCTTCGATTTCAATTTTAGTTTTTATTTGCAAAGAATTTCACTAAAACAACACTTAACTCATGTGTAATTTCCTTAAAATTTTTCATTACATTAAATACAATTTCTTTGGGTTTTCTCGACTTTAACTCTAAAATACGCATGCGCAGTTCGCTCAAAACTACATGCTTGTCTGATGATGACAAAACCTTGTCGAAACGTTGTACATTTGCTGTTATGTTAAACTTATATTAAAGTTTTTCTTCATTACCCATTTAAGCCGTCTCCAGCCATTACATGCTTGTCTCTTTGTGAACACGAATATGGTTTCTACATATTCAGCTAAGTTTCCATGTTTCCTCCCTTCATTACAACTTTACATTTACTTTACTTTGCAATAATTTAGCTTCGGTTCGTTTCATAGACTGCTATAATCATCTTTTAGCTACTTTTTTCTTTAATACGTTTTTTTTTCGATTTTCTGTGTTCCAACTCGCAAAATCATGCTATACACTAAACACTCATAATTATTTCATACTCTGCAGTCTGTACACTATTACTTTATTGCATACTATATTGGTAGTTTTATTAAATAAAATTACGATACATGATTTGATTTGTCTGACCGCGTAAAAGTTTTTGTTTTTTTTTTTCAAATAAACCAGGATTTATCGATCTAAGACATAATGCCAGCAAGAAAGCGTAGCTTAAATGGCGTGCGTGAAAATGATAAAAAATTAAATTCAAGCGAAGTGCATGAAAATTACCACAAATGTTTTACCCGAACTTTTTCAATATTTTATAGTTATTCTGTCGCAAGAGGGCGTATTATCTTCCGTCCAATTGCTGCTTTCTATGCTGCTAACACCCCTGTGTGTGACCTTTAATATTAAAAGTGTGACTTACAACTTCGGGTACCGGCGAAGTGTTAAGTCTATAAAAGGTGAGGGTGAAAATGATCCTGTTTGGATAATCATAATAATTATATACGAAAAAAGAATAAAAACGTGTAGAGTTCTTACTGTATATATATATATATATATATATTGCTTATTTTTGTAAGGTTTTAACAGTTATTTTTGTTTCACAAATTACAGGGTTATAACTTGTATCGTAATACTAGCGGTTTTGTGACAATAACGTACATATACTACCGAAAGTATCATGCAATTCTCTTCAGTCAAAGTACCTACAAAGCCTTATGATGGTCAGAAACCAGGGACAAGTGGTCTTCGGAAAAGTGTTTCTGTATTTAAGCAGGAAAACTACACCGAAAACTTCATCCAGTGTATTCTGGCAGCACTGGGTGAACGAAAAAATGGCTGCTGTCTTGTTGTTGGCGGTGATGGTCGGTACTTCTCTAAAGAAGCAGTTGATATCATAATTAGAATCTGTGCTGGAAATGGAGTAAGGACGAAATCTGATATTAATACTATTATAAGTACTGGGAATCTGATAATTAATTATTTCCAAACTGGGCACTAACACTAACAGTTTAAAAAAATGATGTGTCAAATTCATTTTAGGGTTGCAGCTGATTCATTTTGAGTTATGATTTTTTATATTCACGCTATAATAACAGCGAATGCCTCTTATTTATAAATAAGAATATAGGTGTAAAATTATAACAGTTCCCAAAAGTTATTTACCCATATTAAAGGTAGTAAATACCCAAGATAATTTATCTTTCATATAATGTAAACTGTTTCTTGATTATCAGCATTTTAAAACATTTAATGAAGGATTGGATGGATTCAACTATAAAATATTTTTTTAACAGGTGAAGAAGTTGATTGTTGGTCAGAATGGAATCATGTCAACTCCTGCTGTGTCTTGTGTTATAAGAAAATATCAGACAGAGGGAGCAATTATCCTTACAGCAAGTCATAACCCTGGAGGTCCAGATGGTGACTTTGGTATCAAGTTCAACACAGCTAATGGAGGTATTTAAAGTATTCTATAAGCCTTGCTCCTTCATGTACATTTGACTGCTAGCCAGGACTATTTAACTTGGTAATGGAAATATTTAAGGTATTCAATAAGTCTCACTCCTTCATCTACATCTGACTGCTAGCTGTGATTATTTAACTAGGTAATGAAAATGTTTAAAGTATTCCATAAGTCTCACTCCTTCATCTACGTCTGACTGCTAGTTGTGATTATTTAACTTGGTAAGTTTTGATTATCTCATAGTAGATCTATTCTCATTCATAGAAAAATTTTACTTCAGAAGTAACTGAATGAAAGTAAACATAGTTTGGAGTTAGATGAGAAACTTGATTTCAAGCTAATGAATGTGAAGTTTCAACTTTTAGAAATGATTTTAATCTGGCTTATAGAGAGCTAGCTATAGTATGTATATTATATTCACTATTAAATTAGAAGAATTAACTGTAAAAGCAGCTTGCTTTGCTTTGGATTGTAATATACAATCATATTTTAGTATATAAAGTTTTTATCTAGATTATTTTTAGTTTATTTTGTTTCATTCAACTTAATCTTTCACTGTTAAGGTTTATTTTTTTTAACTTTTTGACAAATTTATTGAAGCAAAAGTTCTTTGTATATTTTTATTAAGTTTTTTGGTAATACTTTAGAAGTATATTAGTGATCTCAGCATGCTGTGATTTGAAAATATTATCTATTGTCTAGTAAAAAATAACAGGTGTAAGAAAATTACTTTAAAAATATGTACATTTATTAAATAAATTTTATATCACTTAAAGCTGTATTTGTTAAGATGAGGTAAAACAAATAGTATATGATAACACATTACTTTAAATTGTGTATTAAACATATCATTAATGATGTTTTAATTTCAACTTTTTATGTAGTTAATTGGATAAAACTTGTATTAAATAATATAAGTGTTTTGTTTTTTTTACTTTTATAGGACCTGCACCAGATAGTGTCACTAGTGAAATATATTCATTAACTCAAAAAATTAGTGAATATTCCCATTGTCCTGACTTAACAGTAGATATAACCCAGAGAAGAACACAGGAATTTAAAGTTGAAAATCATCCTTTTACCATTGAAGTGGTAGATTCTGTGGCTGACTACCTTAGCTTGATGAAGGAAATTTTTGATTTTGATTCAATTCGTAGTTTTCTTGCTGGATCAAGTAGTAATACTCCGTTCAAGATCCGGCTAGACTCTATGCATGGAGGTCAGTAGAACTTAAAAAGTGTTTTTAATTTCAGCATCCAGCTTCAACAAGAAGTATTTTAGGACTTGGATAAAATATTTTTACTTTGGAGAGTCCAAAAAAATGTCATCTTATTGAAAATACCTTTCACATTTGTCCAAAAATTCAAAAGTATGAATGTTAATGAAAAGTTAAATAGTTGCATTCTGTGAGCATGTTTTAAAATAACATAATGTAATGTTTGTTAAATGAAGTTCCATTTGGTCCTTGAAGGCTGTCTTTGAACACTAACATAATGTATGGGCAATGAGGGACCATTTGCTCTTTAATGGCTGTTTTTGAACACAAACATAACAATGTATGGGCAAGAAGGGACCATTTGGTCTGTGAAGGCTGTCTGTTAACACTAACATAATGTATGGGCAATGATGGACCATTTTGTCCTTGAACGCTTTTGAACACCCATCTTTTAGAAAATTAAACTTAAATGCACCCTTTATTTTTAAGGAAATCATTGATTCCTTTCTTAAACTCCTATAAAGTAAATAATATTATTAGTATCTTCTCTTCTAAAAATGTAAGAGAAGAAACTTGGCTATCTCATATTCATCAACAAAATCCTTGCCATCAGCATTTTTTAAAGGCCCACTCCCCATTTTTCACCTTTAACATAACCTTGTGTTGGTTTTAACACCATCAGCCAGCCTTTTGGAATTTCCTAGGTTCTTTTTTTAATGAAATCCCTTTCCTTCTTATAGTTCTGTAAAACAGTGTATGTCCAGAATTGGATGGTACAGGTAAACTTGAATTAAACATAGTGTCTATGTAGATGAATAAATGATAAAGTTAAGATGTACATTTTTGTTTTAGGCTGATAACTTGAACAAAATTCTCAAATTTAGTACTTACCCCTGGATAGAAACTCAAACATTCATAACTTAATTTGAATTACTTTCATAAAAAGAAGAAGAAAAAAAGCCAACTATTCAAGTGTAGTAGCTGTTTAAATGTCACAAAATTCTTCTCTTCAGGAAAGTAACAATTGTATTAGTTACATATTTTGTTTTATTGACAGTATTTGTGGTAGTGTTTTGTTAAATATTTCTATGTCAGGAGTTGAAGTGATGGTTTGTTCAATTCCACATCCACTAGAGATGGTGTTTGTCTGTTTTGAATTTGTCAGTAGATTATTGTTGTGTGTTTAGCTAAAATATTGGTGGTTGTCTGTTTAACTGTTTTGTAAGTAAAATCAGTAATGTCTAACTCTGCATTTATGTCTTAACTTTATGATTACTTTGATAATCCTCTTCATAATGCTCTTTTAAACAGTTACTGGACCTTATGTAGAAAGGATATTTTGTGATGAGTTGGGCACATCAAAAGACAGTGTTGTTAACACCAAACCTCTAGAGGACTTTGGAGGCCATCATCCTGATCCAAACCTCACATATGCTGCAGATCTAGTAAAAACTATGAAAGGTGGGGAGTATGGATTGGGAGCTGCATTTGATGGTGATGGGGTATGTGAACGTTTTTTACATTTATAAAATATTTGCTTTAAATGTCATTTTACTAATAGTAACAAGTACTGGTCTTTTTACATTTCAACAGTTTGGAATTTAAAGATTTTCAAGTAACTTTGAACATATGTTTTATGGCTTTGATCAATTCTTTTTTTAATATAGGATAGTTAGTACCATTGTCCATTCTGGATTTGGTTTTATTGATTAATATTTTGACGTCAGGAGTGTATTAGAATCTACTACATTTGGACATATCCTCCTCATGGATACAAAGATTGGGGCAGATGATAGAAAAATTGTGATATACTAGTGTTCTGATACTTCCATCTGAAATACCAAGCAAGTCTGAAGAAAACTGAGCTTTGGCAGCTCCATTGGTTCAGTATTAACTTCTAAATACATAACTATTAAAAGATATAAAACCACACATGTAAAAGTGCCAATGCTGAAATATTCTGTACTAGGAACTCGGGTTTACTCTGGACAACTGTTCTGTACTGATAAGCAGTCTTGGTGTCATTGCTTACTCAAAATAAGTTTTTCTATTCAGAGAAAGAAGACAATTTCATTATCTGGCTCTTGCTAAGTTAGATATTCCTTACCATAAAGCTTTCCATATTTAGAAAATCTAAACTGAAGAGTAAAATTACACACACCAAAACAGACTGATACCTGTGTAGTTTGTAAAGGGCAATTTATATAAAACAAATGCTAGCAAAATATATATATGAAAACAAAATTATAATTATTTTTCTTGTTATATTTTTATTTCGTAAATTATTTGAGATAGAGGATCAGACAAATGTTTGAAAACTTAATGTTTTCATGAACCCTTTTAAGAAATAGTTGTATAAAAGGTGTGTAATATGCAATAGCTACCTATCTTAAATTGAAGTTTCTTCTTCTCATCAATGATATTACTTATTGAATTTTTTTTCTGAACCATTAAACTATTTATCTCATGGTGTAAAATATATTAATATGCTTAGTAAAATTTAATAATAATAATTTACACATGATAAGGTATATTGTATTTAGCTTAAATATTTCTTTATAAAACAGGATCGCAACATGATTCTTGGACATCAAGCTTTTTTTGTCACTCCATCTGATTCCCTGGCTGTTATTGCTGCAAACTTAGACAGCATTCCATATTTTCAAAACAAAGGAGTTAAAGGTTATGCTCGGAGTATGCCTACTGCCGGAGCTGTAGATCGGTAAAGTATCCACTTGTTCTGTTTTTTGTATAATCAGTTTCCATCACCTGCATTACACTAAATGGATTGCAACTTAATCTTACAGATTTGTTGTTGGATTTCTTAAATACAAAACTACTACCATTATCAAAAAACAGATAAGATCTTTAAGGATTTCATAAATTTCATTTTCTTTTGGGTGTTTTGAAAGTTGACATTACAGTATGTTAAATATATTGTTTGTCAACTCAGTGCATATGGAGGCCTAGATAATTAGAAATTTACAAAAGAGCTTTCTTTTTAAATACAATAAGCTTGAACCTCATTCAAAACAGTTCTGGTTTTAGAATATTTTTAATTAAAGTATTATCACATGTTTTTAGTCCAAACCGAGAAATGACTTGCATGTTTAACACATTCCTTGCTCTAAATGTGAATATGAATGAATGAATCGTATAAAAGCAGAATTATTTGAGGCTTTAATTATTTTCAGAGTTGCAAAACAAACTGGAAAAGAATTTTTTGAGGTACCTACTGGTTGGAAATATTTTGGAAATCTAATGGATGCTGGTAGGATATCCCTTTGTGGTGAGGAGAGTTTTGGAACTGGCTCAGATCACATAAGGTAAAATGGAAATTGAGAATGTTTTTAGTTATTCCTAGTGTTTTTGTGCTTATTCTTTTTTTTTGTTTGTTTAAAATTTTATTTTACATTTTACTCTATTGTGGATTTGTTGTTTAAAGATCAAAGTGGATTAATACGAAAAACACAGTCACAGTTTTTATTCATTGTAGCTAGCTGTTAATACTTTCAGCATGGGCTCGATCCCTGACACTGACCTCGTAACCATTTTGTGGTTGTTATAGTTTTCATGCTATAACTTTTAAATTAGTAAGCGCATGTTCACAAAATTTGGCAGATTATCGATAAACATTACAAAGCTTTTATACACAAAATATCTGATTTTTTTTATTAACGTTTAAGGTTTGTTAAGCAATGTTTTTCTCATGCCTTTTCTCTTTTCACATGTTTCCTATCCAACATGCAAAGTAATTTTCATTTTAAGATTAAAAGTACTTTTATGCATCAGAAAATTTTCAAATATTCACATGCGAAACATTTATAACGTCCAGACAGTTATCAAACATTACTTAAGAAAAAAATTTTATATCTTATCTGTTATTTTTCACTAACAAATCTCTGTACGTGTTCGGCCAATTTGACCAATCTCGTAACCAACATAGAAATTATGAAATAAATATAAGTTATGCCTTTTTCACCCTAGAATGACTAAAAATTATAACACGAAAACACAAATGTTTAGACTAAATATCTTAAATCTCATAACATTGTTCATTTATAAATATATTTTTTATCATATTGAGCTTTCAGCCATGCCTGGCTAACAATTAACAAGTTAGATTTGTGCGGCGCACGTGCATTCTTGTTACCATATCCAATAATATAAAACTGACCTTTAGTCTTTACAAAGTGATCTGTTGTAGCTATATTTCAGTGGACTGTTATTTTGTAAAATACAGTCACATTTCAATTAATATACATGATATATGTATATATATTACTTTTTACAAATAACTTCTTAAACATATTTTTCTTAAAACATAAACAGTAAATAAAGAAGTATGGCAAACAATTATCTCTTCTAGTTACGAACTTTGTACTCTTACTACAGCTGCTTGCTGTAGGTTGCTAAGCCTTATCAAATTTCACATGGAGGATGTGAAATGAAATAATTTTTTTTTAGGTTTTATATATACATTTGGAATAACCAAAAATCATAAACTACCATATCAAAAACATAGAAATCCACTATGGTTTATCAAACTTAGTAACTAAACTGTATTTGGGTCTAAAGAAATATAAAATTTTGAGCTTACTAAAGACTCACCTTACCAGCATGAAGATTTGTATTAAAAGAACATAATGAAGTCATAACACTTGAAAATGGCTGAGAAAGCCACTAGGGGACATTCTAAGCTTTTGATTGGTTATTCATATGTCATATTCAGAAGCAAGTGTAAGAAAAGGAAACGTTTTCAAAAATGGAAAGAGGTGAGTGGGGCCACTGTGTTTGATTAAGTACATGAGAGATACCTGAACAAATAGAAAAGATAGTAGGTTTTTATTTTATATTCTAGCTTGCTAATGTCAATAATTTGAGTTCCTAATTTGTACAAAGCTACAGACTTTGTATTTTGACATCACAAACATTTAATTTGAACCAGTGCTAGCCATGTGACACACACACATTAATGTTTAGGTTTGTTTTTTAATATTTACTTTTAACTTAAGAAATCAAGTAATGTATAATGCTAAAAGATGAATTATAATGTACAGTTTGATACCAAACTTATTGATATAAATTCATAAAATAGTAGTTCAATAAAATTTTGAATGCAAGTCAACAAACATGATGACATGGCCTTTGACCCATGATCCGTGTCAATAGGGTTAAAGCACATTAGTCACAGCTATAATATCACTTCTGATGTTTATACATTGTAGCCAGCTATTTAACTACATTTGTTAGTTATAATATCAGTTCTGGTGTTTATACATTGCAGCTAGCTGTTTAACCACATTAGTCAATGTTATAATATCAATTTAGGTGTTTATCCATAGTAGCTAGCTCTTTAATCACATCAGTCATAGTTGTAATGTCACATCTTGTGTTTATATATTGTAGCTAGCTGTTTAACCACATTAGTCAATGTTATAATATCAATTTAGGTGTTTATCCTTAGTAGCTAGCTCTTTAATCACATCAGTCATAGTTGTAATGTCACTTCTTGTGTTTATATGTTGTAGCTAGCTGTTTAACCACATTAGTCAATGTTATAATATCAATTTAGGTGTTTATCCATAGTAGCTAGCTCTTTAGTCACATCAGTCACAGTTATAATGTCAGTTCTGGTGTTTATATATTGTAGCTAGCTGTTTAACCACATTAGTCAATGTTATAATATCAATTTAGGTGTTTATCCATAGTAGCTAGCTCTTTAATCACATCATATAAACACAAGAAGTGACATTACAACTATGACTATTGTAGCTAGCTGTTTAACCTTCTCGCCATGAGCATCCTTTACTGAGCATGTCACAAGGTTTTTAGTGAGTTACATTCAAAATGTAATTAAACTACATTTTGTTTATGTTATACCAATTAGTATAGCATAACATCATAGCTAATAATCCATATTTTAATAGTATATTAGTTTTAAGTTCTTAATTTTATTAGGCAATATTTTTAAAAAATCCTGAATTTCCCCTAGTGTGAGAAATGTGACATGTTTTTTTCTAGGCATCCCTTCTTTAATTTATTCACCACCCATCCAATAAGTACAAAATTTAACATAAGTTACTCACTATAAAATATTGTTATCCCTTGGTTAAAGCATACTTTTCATAGCCTTCAATCTTGTTTGGTTGCAGAGCCATCAAATAGAAAATCAAACCCATTTTGCTACACCCATCTCTCACATCCTATCTTTCTTTCAGGGTTTATTAATAGTTCTCTTATGTTTGATATTATATTATTTCTAACCAGTAGAAAGCCAAGGTTTTCATCTATCAAATGTTGTTTTCTGTACAGAGAAATGTTAATTTTTCTTTGTTCCCACAGGAGACATATCCACTGGCTCGGATGAATTTGTAAAATCTCTTGTTGCTTAGTTAAAAAGCCAGAAAAATTTGATAGTTATGGAACTTTGTCCAATTTTTGAATGTTGTTATTATTCTATGTTCTTTGGAGTATTATTTTATCAGATAAAAAGCATTTAATGCACTACCACCATTAGTATAAAAAAAGTATGGTTAAGTGTCATCTACAGTTGATAGCAAAAAAGAAAAAAAAGAAGGCCCAGGTAAGTACTTTATTTCTTATTTTTCATGTGTATTTATTTATTATTATAAAGGTAACTAAAATGTAAAAATAGGAAACTATATAGGTTAGTTAAGGTCAGATTAGGTAAAATAGATAATAATAATAAAAATATTTTCATAAGTTACACATGTGAGCAGCTTGGAGTAGCTAGTGGGTAATGTAATTTGATAGTGTAATGTGAGCTGTACATTCCCCAAGTGAGCTACAAATTATAATGGTGCGAATAGTAGTTAGACACGGATCAAAGGGCAATAAAATAATAAAATTTAATTATAAATAAATGTAAAGTGTTACAAATTTAAAGCTACTTTGGATAAACATATGTAGTTTCATGTTACAATTTGAAATTATTCTAGAAAGTAAAAAAAGGGGTAATTTAGATTTATTAAAAAATTTTTTTTGGTGGTTACAAGGCCGGTCAAACTGACCAATGTTGTGTAGAGTTAGGGTAGAGAAAGTAGTAGTTAAAGTATAAAGTTTTACTGAAAAAAACGTTTGAAATGTATTTAGGAAGCATTAGAAATTATGCAAATGAAATATGAGATTTTTGGTTGAAGAAAAGTACTTTTAATCTTAACATGAAAATCATTTTGTACTTGAACTAGTCAATAAAACAGACTTGATATATTCACAGACATATCTTTATTAAAAATATTTCACTAGAAAATGTGATTTTTTTTTGTATGTAAAAGACTTATAATGTTTATTGAAAGTCTTCCAAATTTTGTGTCTATGCACATACTATATTAAAAGTTAGTAGTATCAAACTATAACAAGTACAAAGTGGTCATGTGGTCAGTTAATTTGATTGAGCTCATGTAGAGAGAGTTAACCATATTAGTCACAGTTATATTATTAATTTTAGTGTTTATCCATTGCAGCTAGCTGTTAAATCACATTAGTCACAGTTATAATATCACTTCTGATGTTTATCCATTTCAGCTTGCTGTTTAACCCTATCTCAAAGGGTCATGTGTCAAAGGCCATGTCATTGCCTTTGTTGACTGGCATTTAAAATTTTAGTGAACTACTATTTTATGAATCTACATGAATAAGTTTGGTATCAAGTTGTAGATTATAATTCAACTTTTAGTATTATACATTAGTTAATGTCTTAATTTAAAAGTAAATATTCAAATAACACAGCCAAACATCAATTTTTGTGTGTCACGTGGTATGTTGAATGCAGCACTGGTTCAAATTAGATGTTTGTGATGTCAAAATACAAAATCTACGAATTCTTATGAATTAGGAACTCAAACTATTGATATTGACAAGCTAGAATATAAAATAATAATGTCTAAACTTTTCTATTTGCTAAGATATCACTACTGTACTGAATCAAACACAGTGCCCCCCCTCCCTTCCTTCCCTTATTTTTAGGAAAGGTCCCTTAGTAC